TTTTGCGAAAAAGGTGACAAACAAGGGAACAAAGCGAAAATTTAGAAAGGAACAGGGGAGCACAGACCCGTAAATGGCATGACTTTAGTCAAGAGGCGAAGGCCAAAAAACATATCCGACTTCTCGGAACTTCACTCGTAATATAGGGAAGTATCCCCACCCCTCCCCCCATGGATTATTGCCATAAAGAAGTAATTGAAGCATGGATTCAACGTCTACAAATTTACGCTCAAATCACTTACAAATCCGAAATTCGAAAGGACGTTTGGAGAGATACCGTGAATTTATTATGCCGGAAACTTATTGTGAAAATTATCTTACTCGAATCTTACTGCCTATCGAGAATTGCCTATCAAAAAATCTACCTATCTTAGCAAAAGCGRACTATATACTTACTTATGCAGGTTCTATTAAAATTACAAAGGACTTATCAAAGGAATGCAAACATGCACAGAGTTCTACTGAGGAAAAATCGACGATTGGAAGTATTTTATGAAGCGGAGGAGATAAAAGACTCTAGACTATAAAAGACTATCAAAGTGAAACCGGCTTGCTGATGTATGATGAAATTCTTTCATAATATTAATGTTGAGTACATTGCTTGTTTTATTTTTATTTTTTATTTTATTCCAATTTTTGCTTTACCGTTTCGATTTGAATATTAACTTTAAGGCTCAATTAATTAATACAGTCCAATAGAGTACAAACATGACTAAAACTGTGTACTAGAAGTACCACTAAATACTGCTAAATTATGCTAAATTCTATTGTTTTCTATTGTTTAATTAACACTATTTTGTAGGAAATATTGGAAAGTGTTGCACACATTTAATGTCTGTACTCTATTTTGACTACTCACTCACTCAATAGACCTAATCGGCTTCAACCCAATTCAAACCACCCGGGAGTAAGTTTCATTGTTCGTTGTATTTTCATTTCACAGTTGAATTCTTATAAACAAAAGTTTTTTTCCCACAGGATTTGAATTGGGTGGCAACGTACATAGCAACGCCGTTAGCCGATTAGGTCTATTGTTTATTAATTTATCAAAACCGACAGTTTTGTTCCACTTCACTTGTCAAAGGAACCATAAAAGTACACAAATTTCATGCTTGTACTGAAATTTGAATAATAGTATATTGATTCACCATGTTCACTAGTTGATTTTTATCATATTTGATAGAAAGGACTATACCCTCTATTAAATATGGTTTTTATCTAGCAGGGACAGGTTGTTGGAAGCTCTATTAGCACTAATCCTTGGTTAACTGTTAGTTACCGAGAACGTCGGCATTACGCTATA